GCGGAACAACCACGGGGCAACCACGGGAGAAACATCGGGACAATTCCGGGGCAATGACGGAACAACCATTGGACAACCACGGGAGAACCATCGGGACAACCATCGGGAAAATTACGGGGCAATAATGGAACAACCATTGGACAACCACGGGGCAATCATCGGGACAACCATCGGGACAATCATCGGCATAACCACAGGACAATGATCGCGAAGATCTCTTGGACAATCGTGTGACAGCCCAGGAGTTACCGCCTGGCGGGGGGGAGGGACAGGTTTGATGGCAACCTGTTCGAACTACAGCTTCGGGACGATTTGCTCCTAACGCCGGCACACACGTCCATGTTGATCCACAGCGTGCTGGGAATGCCACATTCATGCCGCCCACACTTTTGTAGCGCAGCCGTGTTACACGTGGGTTGCACTTGGTATTCATGACACCGTGTCATTACTTCGGTTTGTACGCACTCACCGCAACATGTGTTAATTGGCCATTCGGTGTCGAAGGACACGTTGCGTATCCCACTGTGTGTGTTAAGAGCGCATGGCGGCCATGACGGATGTGATCCAACGGCTCAGACATTCGATGTGTTTTTCTTGTGCAGTATACTTAGCTGTGTGTTCGGGAGGCAAACTATCCTCAAGAGCTAAACTCCAAACACTCAAATAATATTATGATTCAACTCTGATACAACTCTGGCCCGAAATTATGTTTCATCACTGATGTGTTGGAAACTCGGATTTAGCTCTGGTCTGAACTTTGATTTAGTTCTGATTCGGTTCTGTCCCCAGCCGCTGAAAACAGATGTGAATCAGAGCTAAATCAGAGTTGCGTCAGAGTTCCAGACCAGAGCTAAATCACAGCTTCAGCTAAACCAGAGATGAATCAGAGTTTCAGGCCAGAGTCAAAACAGAGTTGAATCAGAGACTCATCGGAGTTCTGGCAGTTCGGGGCGGAGGGCGCGGATTCCAGAGGAAATCCATATTGGGAGTGCTTCGAGCTGGTATGCTGAATATACCAGCTCGAAGCACTGCCACACATTGCGAGGACGCCTTGCACGAAAAGGCGCCGAAGCCATGCCGAACGAGGGAGGACAGGCAAGGCGTGAGGACGTCTCGAGCGAAAGTGGGCCCACACCAGGCCAAACCAGGGCCGAACCAAGCAACTTGTGAGGATGCCTCGAGCGGAACTGGGCCCAATCCAGGCAAAAACCAAGGCGAAGCCAGGCACATGCTGAAGATGTCTCCAGCAAAGCCAGAGCCACACCATGCAGCACCAGGGCCAACCAAGGACAAGTCTGAGGACGTCTCAAGTGAAATCGGGCCCAAACCAGGCCAAACCAAGTGCCACATCATGCAAAGTCGGAGGATGTCTCAGGCGAGGCGCACGGCCAAGCCAAGCTAAACCAGGGGCCAAACCGTGTGGACTTTGAGGACTTCCCATGCTGAATCGCCCAAACCAGGCTCCATCCACTCTGCTGACAAATAATCATCGAAGGAGCTGACCACCCCAGGGCCACCCTCGCAGGCGGAAGCCCGTTCAGAATTTGACGGTGGGGGCGTTTGGAACGCGCGCTTGCTGATGCGGGCGGGATTGGGCGCGAAGTTGTCAATTATCTTTTGGGCGTTGTTGGGCCTGGTGTGGCATTCGAAGAAATCAATACTTCCGAGCCTGTAGGCTGGGACTTGCATCACCCGCACGTCACGCACGACCCAATCCGAAACCGTAACAGACTTCTTGGTTTGGGGAGTCCGTCTTATTTCGATCACACCTCCGATTGCCAAGTCGTCTTCATCCTTTTTCCCGGCCTTGGTTTTTGCGCTCTCGGGGCAGCCCTCTTGAGGGGCAGCGGATTTATTTGTTCCGTCATTCCCGACGCTCTCCTTTGAGCAGGATCACGCATTGATTTTTCAGTACATTGTGCCCGAGGCTTCTTTCCTGTTCTGGTACCTGACAGCACGTGCTCCGCCCGACGGTGTGACAGCACGTGAAGTTTGTTTCAAGGCAGCATGCTAGATAGGATGACGGAGACCCCGTTTCCGGCTCGTTGTTGTCTGTTCCGGAGACCCCGCTTGCAGCATTACATCGTGCAGACCAGCATCAATGTTTCACGCTTCGCGCATCCCCATCAGCCCAGTTAGAAACCTTGTCCATGAGAGTTGCAACAACGAAGAGATTGATGTAGTGAAACAGTGCGGGCAACGTGGGAAATCAGAGAGATCGTTGGGAGCACAGGGGTGGCCTTGGAGGCCCTCTTCGGGCCATCCTTGGGGCCCGCGTGGGGGCGAGAGAAGGATGAGGAGGAGGCGACCGCGACGACGAGGAGGACTAGAAAGGAAAACGATGAGGGCAATGGCGAGGACGAGGAGGATGATGAGGACAACAAGGACCAGGATAGATCCCACAAAATCGCTTGTTGGAGGCCTATTGGGACTCTTTGGGGGATCATGGGGTCCTCTTGGGGCTCTTTTGGAGGGCCATGGGACCCTCTTGTGGCCCTCTTGAGGCCCTCTGTGGGGGTCCCTCGGGAGCCCTGGGGCGCTCTCGTGGCCGTCTGGAGAGCCTCTTTGCCAGCCCTTGGGCCTCTCGTTGGCCATATTGGGGCCATCTTGAGGCCCGAAAGCGCATCCGAAGCGAAAAGGCGAGAACTCCAAACTCATTCAGATTCCTTTAGTGTTTGACTGAGTTTCGCCTCTTGGGGGGTCCAGAGGGGGTTGCGAGAGCACCTGGAACCGTCTTGTGGCCCTCGTCGGGCTTCTTGGGGGTATGTCGAAAGGTTTCTTGAACTATCGCTGGCTATCTTGAGCCATCTCAGGCGCCCTGGCCGATCGCGGCCCGCCCCCAGGGAGGGGAGGGGAGGTGCCCCTCCCCGAAGGGGTTAGCGTTTTCGGACGAGGACAGAAAGATGCCGCTAAACCAGCTTAACCCAGAGGGCTGGTGGCATTTTCGCGGCCTCCGAGACTGTGATCACTGCAGTATCATATGGGGCGTTCCAAAAAGGGCCTTGCCTTCAAGGATCGGAGGATGTGTTATCTCTTCCGCCGCGGAAGGCGGCGGAAGGCCCGCGGAAGTAAAACGAGGCCGCCTCCGCCGACGGAAGCCGGCGGAAGTCGGCGGAAGTGAAAAACGCGTTGGCAAGAGATGAACACGTTTTTTGGTTCAGGGGTTCCGAAGTTCGCCATCTGTTCTCGTCGCTGCATGCTGGGAGCTGTAGATCTACTTCGGCAGCGGAGCACATGGCGGTTGAAACA